GTAACATTGAAAGACAGCAGGAATTTTCAATGAATCTCATGAGATCATGTAAAATAAACTCAACCCCCAAAACTTTTTTCTAAATATTTACAATAGAAAACTACATCATCCAATATATGCCACCTATTACTAAACTATTTTGATTGTAATGAAATTCTTATAACTTCATGTATTCAAGCCATGATCATAGAGATAGAAACAAAGAAGGCAATAATCCACAATATAAGCCTATAATTAGAAATCTCCTCAGTGGATTAAGACTTGAAAGATGAGTAAGATACACGGGTGAAATAATAGTATATTCAAAACATGAATAGGAAAATGACAAAATATTATATAATATAGCCTTGATGCATCAAATTTATTGAAGTTACCTAGATCATGAATATCAACAGAAATTGATTCAAAAATGAATGCATCAAATTTATTTGTTGTCAAGCTCACACAACCAACGATAGTTGATACACATTTTCAGCTGCAATAGTTTGGAGAAAGTTCACAAATTGGAACATATGTCAAATTACAATGTACCACAAAGCACACTTTTAGACCATTGTTATACCCCTATTCAGTTTCAAACATTTCATTGCAAAAACAATGCAAGTATAATTATTGGGATGGTATTACTCTTCACATTTCACACAATCTTCTCTTAGCCCCGTTCACTTACAAACATGATCCCTTTCCCTCCCCCTTCAACAAAACCAATGGTTCAAAATTCTATGAGTAAGATTATGAGAAGAAAACATTATGTGCAAACAAAACAGATTCCTAACTATTCTGAATCCAATTCCAAAAGGGCACACACCTTTTCTTCTCTTCTAATAATCTGCCAAGTCCCAAGGCCAAATGTGATTGCCCCAGGTAGAAACAGCAACCATCTAGATGCTTTTCCTTTCATAAACCCGAAAGAAGAAATCAATGACAATAAAATAAAAAGCTTGAATTTTTATGAAGATGGACTTAAGAATTGCAAAAACCAAGAATGACCCACGTGAAGAATCGATCGGGGGAACAGAAATCAACACATACTCTGTGATTCAGAAGAAGAGGAAAGTGTTGGGTCGGAACCCGGCACAGAGGAAACAGCGGCGGCGGAGCAGAACGGCCTAACGGCGAGGAAGTGTTCGGAGGTGGCACCGCCGCGTGCGGCGGCGGTGCGGCGGAGATGAGCTAGCATCCCGGCGAGGAAAAGCGACGAAGGCACTGGAACATGCGATGTGAGAGTGAGAGAAGCAAGGAGAGAGGAAGAAGAGAGAAGTTTTTTTTTTTTTTTTTGATACCGAAGAGCGAAGGGTTTATGAAGGTACAATCTGCTGCGCGTGGAGTCATTTTTAGCTTCGGTGGACCTCTATGCATTTGGTTTAATTCTTGCATTGTAAATATTTTTTTTAACGGCAAGAATTACAGCAACTGGATTCGAATGTGTTTTAATCTAATTCACAACACTGGTATATTTATTTGAAATAATGCGATATCATTTTTTATGTAAACTTTTTTTTTTTAGGTTCGTTCATGGAGTATTCACTACCGACAGCAATTATTAATCTTCTCGCTATGTTAGAGACATTTCAAAGGGTGGAATAACTCTTTATTTATTATTTATTACAATGATAATTGTACGCTCCTTTTTTTTTCAAGTATAAGATAATAATAATTCAGTAATTTTATTTTATTAATTTAAATAAAATTAGCCTTATTTGTCCAAAACTATTTTGTTCTTTGATAAATTACAGTCTTCACGTTTTTTACTTTTACATACTCACATTTTTAACTTTTACATATTACATGCAATTTTAGTGAGTTGTAATCTATTTTTATTTTATGATTCAAATAGCATTTTAAAGCTGAGATTAATTTCTATTGTGACTTCCATTAAATAATTATTATTTTAACATAAATATAATCTTGAGAGCACTAAATCAACTTTTGTGTCTTAGATAGATCTCATTTATATTTATATCAATAGATAAAAAAAATATATTTGTTTTTAATTGTTTTTACTCTCTTCATTATTGAGAATTGAAATCGTTTTACCCTTGAATTAATTTTTTTTCTTCACTTTTACATATTATTTTTTATAACAGTTATTTGTAAATCAACTACCTATTTATTTTTATAAAGAACACAAATCACCCAAATCTAAAAATTTAGGAGTATAAACCATGATAAAAAAAAAATTATCTTGAAATAAAATTTGTATGAAATAAGGACTCTATGTGCCATTTATTCACTTCCAGTCAAAAACTATCACAAAATTATTAAGAAAGTAATATATACATGGCGCACAGGGGGATATTTCACAAAACATAAACACATTACGCACGGGTGGAGGAGTCATCTGCACCTAGTTTGTTCTATTAGAAAACTCATCTCCCTAATGCTCTTTTTTCACACTTTTATTCCACAACACATACACACATGCAGGGATGTTCACAAAAATTATTTAAAACTAAACTTTTTAAATAACTAAACTAAACTAAACTAAAATAAACTAAATTATTTTTTAATAGTTTAAACAAAACTATTAATTTTAGTATAGTTTATAAAACTAAACTATTAAAATTAATAGTTCAGTTCACTAAAAACAAATAGAAGTACTGAAGCAGCGGAGACTACAGTACCAGACTACCAGTTCGGACTCGCGGAGACCTGAAGTAGTGGAGACTACAGTACCAGACTACCAAACAACAAAGACTTTTCCAAGTTGGCGCCAACTGTTTAAAACTATTTATCATATTCACACAAAGATATGTTTTAACTGAAAATAATATTAGTGAGATATTAATTTTTTTTAAAATTTAAGATTAACTTTTTGTTGTTGTTGTCGGGGTATCCTTTGATTGAGAATCAAACACTAATTCCTTGAGTTGCAGAGTATGTAGGTTCATTTACACAAATCTTTCAATAATATAATAAAAAAAACTATTTTTTTTCACTAAAACACTTGACATAAATGAAAAAATATGCAGATAATCAAATAACATAAAAATATAAGATATAGATACACCAGAAAATGTTAAATAAAAATATAAAAATGTATTTATATGCTTTAAAAAATATTAAACAAAATTTACAAAGAAAACTATTTTTGTTATAAATTTGTATTTTCCATTATTTCTTCCTTATTAGCATCAACTATTTATTATCTAGGAATTCTCACATTTCTGCTAGTACACAGAAACTGAGTTCCACACTACCATTTTATCTTCATTTTATATATTTTTAATAGTTTTTTATATTTATTTTTCATTTTTCTTATTTTAATTTTGTAGTTATTCTTTCCATTGGTTTGATAGTTGTAAGGGAGAAAAAAATTAAATGGAACCTTCTTTGCCCGAGATGGAACCAGATTTATTTTTAAATTTATTTTTTAATATAGTTCAATTTAGTTTATAATTAATAATAATTTAATTTATAATTAATAATAGTTTAATTTATAATTAATAATAGTTTAATTTAATTAATATTATAGTTTAGTTCAAACTCCTAGAACTATAGTGCACTAATCTATATAATAGTTTAGTTTAGTTTAGTCGATATTTATTTTAGTTCAATTTAGTTTAGTGAATTACTTATTATAGTTTAGTTTAGTTTTCTTTTAGTTTAATTTAGTTTAGCAATTTGAACATCCCTACACACATGGCCCATGGGTGAGAGGAGTCATCTTCACTTATTTTGTCTCATTAGAAAATTTCTCTTTTCATACTCCTTCTTCACACTTTACCACGCGGCAAAAAAAACCTATACCAATAAATTATTATTTTTATTTTTATTTTATGTATTTTTAATTATTTTTAATTTATTTATGCGAAAAAGCCATAGAATTCATGGAAAAGGGAAAATTTGAGAGTAAACCCGAAAAAATAATATCATAACTAAGGAAGCAAGCACTGTTCTCGCAATTGAAACGGAAGAGGATCAACGACATTTTTTTTAATATATCAAAATTCTTTTATTTATTAAACGTTTATTATTTACCTAAATAACATATTTTGACGTAGTGAGTTGTCTCTTCCTCCACTATATTCCTTTGAGTTTTCACAACACAATGTCATTTGCAATGCTAGGTTTAAGGCTTAGGTATGCTCTCTCTCTCACTCTCTTTCCATTCACAAGTTTCCTCCTTTTTATACCGCAACCCTACACTGTCACGTTCGCAATCCCTATGATGCAGTTGTCTCTTTCAATCGCATGCTCTTTGTGCGTCAAACACCACCCATAGTTGAATTCAACAAGATTTTAGGGTCCCTTGTGAAGATGAATCACTACCCCACTGCTATTTCCCTTGCTAACAAATTGGAATTAAGGGGAATTATGCCTAGCATTGTTACTTTGAACATCGTCATTAATTGTTTCTGCCACCTCCGTCAAATGTCATCTGTCTTTTCTGTACTCGCTAAGATTCTCAAGCTGGGTTATCAGCCTGATACCTTTACCTTCAATACCCTCATCAATGGCATGTGCCTTAATGGTGAGGTTAAAAGGGCATTGCTCTTTCATGACAAAGTTTTAGCTCAAGGATTTCACTTGGATCAAGTTACTTACGGGACCTTGATCAAGGGCTTATGTAAAATAGGAGAAACAAGGGCTGCTCTGGAGTTGCTTAGAAAGATTGAAGGCCATTCAATTAAACCCAGTTTAGTAATGTACAATACAATCCTCGATAGTATGTGCAGAGATAAAAATCTTGCGGAGGCTAATGATTTGTATTCTGAAATGGTTGTCAAGGGAATTTCTCCGGATCTCATCGCTTACACCACTTTAATATATGGTTTTTGCATAGCGGATCAATTTCAGCAGGCGATTGATTTGTATAATGAAATGATGCTTAGAAACATCAGCCCAAATGTCTATACTTTTAATATATTGGTCTATGCCTTTTGCAAGGAAGGAAAGGTGAAAAAAGCTAAAAATGTGGTTGCAGTGATGATGTTGTTTAGTACAATTCTTTAACGGATGGTCATTGCATAGTTGAAGAAGTGAATACGGCCAAGAATATATTCAACAGAATGGCTGAAAGGGGAGTGAATGCAATGTTCGGAGCTACACCATCATTATCAATGGATTCTGTAAGATTAAAATGGTGGATGAAGCCCTGAATCTCTTGAAAGAAATGCATCACAAAAACATTGGTAACCTACAATTCTCTTATTCATGGTTTGTGCCAATCAGGAAAGATGTCTTATGTATGGGAGCTCATTGATGAAATGTATGATAGAGTTGTACCTGCCGATATATTCACCTACAATTCTTTATTAGATGCATTATGTAAAAAACATCATCTAGATTGGGAATTGCTTTATTCAAGATAATTAGAGATAAGCGGATTCAGCCAGATGGGTACACATACACGATACTTATTGATGGATTGTGTAAAGGTGGAAGACTTAAGAACGCACAAGAGGTTTTTCAGAATCTCTTGATTAAAGGCTATGATCTAAAGGTCATCACATATAATGCCATGATCACTGGGCTTTGTAAAGAGAACTTGTTTGGTGAAGCTTTGGCTATGCTGTCGATAATGGAAGATGGCCGTTGCCTTCCTGATGTTGCAACTTACGAAATAATTATCTGCGCTCTCTTTAAAGAAAATGAGAATGATATGGCAGAGAAACTTCTTCATAGAATGATTGCTAGAGGCTTATTGTAGGAGTAAAACTTGGCGAGGAACTTTCTATTTACACCTCAAGTTATTTTGAATTTTGGTGATAACCAGCCAATGTTTATTTCTTTTGGTAGTTAAATTAAATGTGAAAAAGAAGATGGGTATGTAATGGGCTCACTGTGACTTTACTTTTCATTAAAAATCATATCAGTTGTCGGTTCATTTTGATATTGTAACCATATCAGTGGTAAACTTTTTCGAGACTTGCCATAACTATCCTTTTTCTTTCCAACGTATGTAAGGAAAATGGATGCAAAGGCCTAGTAGGTTGACTCGCGTGTGGGACTAGAGGGAATAATCACAGATAGACACGTGGCAGAAGACATGGAAAGCATGATGAGAGGCAAAGACACACGATTCAAGAATGTAAGCACAAGGCTGAGGGACTATGAGAGGGTTATTCGCTAGTATAAATGCAATAATTGTTTAGTGAGAGGAGGATGGTGTTGTTGGAATTTCTTTTCTCTCTGAGTCAATTTCTCTATCCCAATTGGTCTCTCATTTTGAGAACCATTTCCATTTCTGTATTGCAGAGTTATGCTTTTATGAAATTTCATTGTCTCTGTACTTTCATTCATTTCCATTAATAGAGAACAAATATTCTGGCTCCGTTTACTGCTTCCCTTTTGAGTGCCTCATTATTATGATGAGGTTGTTTTATAATGTTTGTTTGAGGGGATATTTTTATAAGGTTATTATACAAACATACTCTACAATGATAAGATATTGTCCGCTTTGAGATTAAGTCCTCACGGTTTTATTTTTTGGTCATCACCTAAAAGAGCTCTTAATCATTAAAGTATATTTGTGTTATATAAGTTGTTATTTCTTATCTTATTTTATCGATGTGAGACTTGTTTGTATCCCAACACATTACAATGTACTGTAGATCTGCTTTATTTATTTTCAAGGATTTGTATCATGTTATTGCTTCAGATGTCAAAAAAAGCTAGAAAATGTCACGATTATTTGGAATAGGAATACATTATCTCTTTTAGAGTTACAGATATGTTGGGCTTGCCAATGAATGAAGAGTCAGGGGTTGAAGGTTGGCATTTGAATGCATGGTGATTGAGGGCTGGATTTTATATGTTCAATAGAATGTTGGCTGTAAATCTTGTAATTTTGTTGCCAATTTTCTCTTCTCTCTGTCCAATTGGATAGAGAATTTTATAAGTGGACTGCAATTTTGAAGGGATTCAAAATTCAATATCTTAAAATATTTTGTTTGAATATTTTATTGAAGGAAATATGAAATTCTTGGCATTTTAACCAGGTGTTTTTTTTAACCAAAATGACAGATTGAGAATTTCACCACTACAGAAAGAATTTCTAAAATATTTTGTTTTTCTTCTTTACCAGAAAATCCAACTCGAACTTCTTCCTTCTCTGCAAGGATCCATCTTCACTAGGCTTTTGCAGTAACCTTGAACTGAAACCACTATCTTCTCTGCAATGGATTCAATTTTGTTGCTTCATCTTCACAATGTTCATGGCTTCATTTTTGCAGTGCTAGTGGCATCATTTTTGTAGTCTTAATACCTTCATCTTTGTATATTCCTACATCGTGATTTCTTTCATCCTGGTTTGTCCTGTTCCTTGATTATTGGCTTGGTTCAATTTTTCTAATTTTTGTTTGTGTATAATTTGCAAGAGATATGTTATAAATTTTTAGTGTGTAATATTTCCCCTTTATTCTGGTTGTCTGTCAGCTGTTTGGTAAATTGCTGCAGTGGAATCATGTTTTATCATTGGGTGCTGTGAAGATTAAGGTCTATGAATTACATTTAATTCGTGAGTGATTTTCCTTCTGGATTATGATTTTGGTATGCGAGAGTGCTTCTTCAGTTTTGGTGACTAAAAGTTTAAAAGCATCCAGTTGTGGGTACTCCAGGGTTGCCTGTGTACCTTTATTTTAAATAAATATAAACGAGCCTAAAATTTTCTGAACCGATCGAAAAGATGCATCAGAGCATTTCAACAATATAATATTCATATATACACCAACTCATCAAGTCATCATATGTGGCCATTTGCTTATTCCTTTGTTTCTCTAGCTTGATTGCTTCTTTTCTATTGTAATTGCCATGGAAAGTTTTTGATGTTTTAGAAATTTGTAAAAATTTGTCATTCTTACCTGTGTTTTGATAACTATTATCACTTTCTACTCCAATTGTGAGCTTCATTTGTTTATCTCAAAACTTAGGAGATGAACATTATTGAATATAGTATGATATTGAAAATCATTGTGATTTTAAATTTTTCTAAGCTTTTGGAGAAGTTTGCTTGACCAAGGAAAACTAAAATAATTTTTATAAACATATATTTATCTCTTATTATTCTTTTAAAGTTCTAAATTTAATTTTTAAAATAATAAAGAAAATATTACTCTATTCTTTGGGCATTGAGCTAGTATACACACTAATTAAACTATACAATACCATAATAGATTTTTTTCTTTATAGAAAAGAGTTAATTACTTATAAACTGTTAGTGTAAAGATTTTTTATACTGATAACCAATTAAATCTTTTAATTGTGTCATGTCACTGTTAAAAGTAAATGTGTTTATAGTGACATGGCACAATTAAAAGATCTAAATGGTTGTCAGTGTAAAAAAAATTTATACTAATAGTGTATAAGTGATTATCTCTAAAGAAAATATGTGATTTGACTCGGTAGGCTGCCCCACTATCAGTTTAAAAATCACCACATTCAACTCGGATGCGGGGTAAAATAAAAATAAAAAGGATATATGTGTAGAGACGTAAGAATGAACAACCTTCCAAAAGTAATTTATTTATTATAAATTGAATTTGATGATGGCACTAAGTATACCTGCCACTGCAAAATTAAAATTCAACGTGCGTTGCACTGTAGAGAGTTCTGGGAACATGTACTTCTTTACTCATTCAGTAATATTCATGACATGAAAATTCACAGAACCATATATTAAGGCTCAAGACCCAAATTGTGAACAGTGGACAAACTCGTGCATAAGCCTAGTATGCATAAAATATCAGAGCAGTCAACAATGCAACAAAGCCATATGTAGTAATCATTTTTGTTGAATGTGAATTTTTGGCCTCAGCAGTGTCTTCTTCAGGCACAGCACCTTCACCTATAAACAGTAAATATAGTATTAGTTAATAATTACCATGCAGATACAAGCACACTTGTTCATAAAAATATATATTACTCTAGCTGAACAAACTTTTTTATTTGAATCTCAAGCAGTGACAAATAGTTCGCAGTTTCTTATTAATAGATGAATTTAATTACTCCGAAATAATTTGTTTAACTTATTCAATGAAATCTAATTTTCAATGTTTTATATGTTCATATTAAATATAAGCACATATGGGTGGATGATGATTTATACCATCTGCTGCTGGTGAGGGTGCTCCTACAATGAAAAGAAACAAAACAAGTTGAAAGTTAGAACCAGATCTGATAAAGACATTAAATGAGATATGATTTTTAAGATAACTATTATAAAAATTAATAAAATTATTTTATATTATGGAATATTATTTATTCATATAAAAATAGGTCATTAACAACCTAAACTTCACCCGATATATGTGTGTAATTACAAGACAATTCAATAAACATAACTAAATATAAGGAGGAGAAATTAGCACATTAGCTGGGATCATCGATTATCGTGATCTCGATCTATCTTTACGAGACATAATTGAACTTTATTAATTCTTCATAAATTGCAACAACTTTGTGTCATGTAGAAACTGGTCGAATCATTAACTGGTTGAGGACTATATATAAAGAATTCTCATTGGGTAGGGAAACTATAGACAAATTCCATCTCCATATTTTGTAAAAGAAACTTATATTATAGCCCTTAACAGTGCACCAATATTTGATTTAGATTTCTGCAAGTCCTCAGCAAGATACGATGGAAAATGCAACATCTGAGTTTAGTAGAATACCATGCATGCAATGAAATGAAAGAATAATTTCAAAAGATTCCTAAACCAAACAAAAGGTATCTATAATAATGAAAAACTTGACAACCTAACTTAATTTCAATTCCAATTTCCAACAAATAAAAAGTTTTCTCCCCTATGGGAAAAAGAAAAGGACTAACAAACATCAATCATGACATGAAATATAGAGACATGCATACATTCCATATTACAAATACCATTGCAAGTTGAAAAACAATATTATTAATGAAAACCAGCACATGCAAGGCACAAAAAATAAAAGAATCATGAAATGAATATATAGCAACCTGTGAAGTTGCAGTTGGCAACGTTAATTTCGATGCCACAAGCTTGGGGGAGCTTCAAGAAATCCTCCTGAGAGGCCCTGACAGACTGGAGAAACGTAGGGTTTTTAAGGAAATTGCAAAGGCATCCTTTTTGATTATCATGTATCTCCTTCAAGGGCTCACAACAGGACTCAGGAGGGTTGCTTGGATTCTTCACATATGCCTGGCAAGGAAGGAGCTTCTGCATGCATTGTGCATCTTGTAGGATTGCAGCACCTTGTCCATTGATGCCAGGTAGAATCTGGTCAAGACTACTCTGACACAAACCAACATGAACACATGATGAAGAGAACAATGTGATGAGGAGGAATGAGAGGATGACCTTGGAAGACATGTTCAAAGAAAAAAAAAATATTGAGAAAAAGAGGGACAGAGAGAGAGATAGGGAGAGAAAAACTGAAATGGTTTTGTCGGTGGTTTTCCTCTATTCCCCTAGTGCATCATTGTGGTGCATGTTGGTTATATAAATCCGAGGTAAACTCTATTTTTAAAGGGTTGCTTTTATGGGAAGTTAAATTGAGCCAGCCATCTCTTCATACCCCATTTTTATGCATGCCACCAAGCTGTTCTATTTATTTAGCAATTACACCTTTTTTCTCTACTTCTATCTTTCTTGCTAGTTTGGGATGTGTATTAATTTGTGATGTTTGACTCTTCTTTTTCTCTACAATATACGAATTTGCAAATTCAAGGTTTATTTCGTTGTTTTTAGGTAATGTTTTCTCCATTTTTTCGGAAAAATTATGCTATATATTAGGCAAGTATTTTGCACTACCTGATTTAAGATTCCACGTGTTTGTGTCTTGTTAGACAAATATTAAATTAAATATATGAAACATAGCAAACTTTGGAAGAAATTAAAAGCACTTGTTCTTATATATTTGGTACATTTGACAAAACTAACCGAATACTACGAGAGCTTATAAATTATAAGTTAAGAGTTGAAATTCTGCAACTTATAATCTAGTTGATTTGAATTGAAAATATTCGATAAAATCAATTAATAAATATAACATGACATAAATAATTCATATAACGATAGTGAGAGAATGACTTACGCATGCATGTAAGAATATTTCTAAATTAAAAAGATAAAAAAAATGATTTTAAATAAATTAATGAGAATGTAAAAGAAAACTTAAAAATGATTAATTATAAGTTACTTTATGAGAATAAATTATAAGTTTCTAAAATAAATTTTTAAATTTAGCAAATTTATCTTAGTAAAAACTAACTTATAAATTAGTCAAAAGATTTTTTTAGTTTCTTATGAATCTTACCAAATACACCCATTATTTTTGTGCCAGACAATATTTTTCTTTTTCCAAATACTAATAATAATAATGTCATTTTTTTTTTTTGCGTTATGTGATTCTCACTTTTTGTCTTGTGAAATCTCCCACATAAATTTTACTTTATAATGAATTTTGTAAATAATTTGAGATTATTCAAAATATAATATGATTTGATTCTCCGGTTACAACTACACTTATTTCTTAGTTTAAAAAGATTGATTAGTTCAGTTGTTTAAATAAGCTAGTTATTTCTTATTTTATCCATACTTATTCTAGAAGAGTGAAATCATAGTTATACATTTCCAAATATTTGCTACAGTTTGCAAAAGCTCAATGAGCTTCAAAAGGATCAATTACAATCCAATTTCAAAAGGATTTGTAAACAATAATTTTTTTTGTGAAACTTCTTTGATGTTTTACCATCCATCCATATATATATACAAAGGTAGAACATATAATCCAAGCTAAAAAGTACCAACAACTTCAAATGATAAGGAATCAAATGCTCTTTTGTTCTGTCCTCTCATTTGTGGGACAAATGTTATCCTTAAAAATATGCACGTTTATATGTTCGTTTTGAAATTGAGTAGCAATACATATGTACTCCTTCTGTCATGTGTATGTGTCTCACTCTTGATCAGCCAAACATATTTTGAAGTTCAACAATTATTGAGACATATTCTAAACAAGTATATAGATTATCTATCACCTAAATGTTAATAATTATTATACACTACAAGAAAATTGTCATATAGTGACACACATGCTATAGTGACACAATATGTATCACTAAAAATTACTTTCACATACGCAATAAATATAATATATGTTAGTGTATATTGTTAAAAAGTGTGAGTATAAGTTATAGTGACACACAAAATATGTTGTTAAATTTTATTCAAAATCAACACTAAAATTGTATGTAATTATATACCAAATGAATGTATATCTACATATATTATACTTATAGTGACACTTTTTGTATGTTACTATATGTAACATTTATTGTAGTGATAGGTGTCACTCAACATTTGGAATTCCACCCTTGTTATACTCTACAAATGACAAAACATGTGTAATATAGTTGACACATAATTATATTCATCCTGATGATAGAGATTAAGATAATATATACAATATTAAATTTAAGCTTTCTAATTGTATTGTAATTATTAAAGATAAAAATAATACTCTTTAAATATATGATCAAGGATTCAATCTCCAAGTTTGTATGTATGCAAGAAAATTTGTTGTGAGAAATCAAATCTTTAATGAATTTTCATTCAAGAAATTAGCCTCTATAACTTTTTGTTAGAAAATATCTTGAAAGATAGATAGACACATTTTTTTCTTAGTAGATTCATAAACTTAGGACAAACGATACAAAATTTGGCCAAATAGATATTTCAACTAAGTATCAAAACATAATATACATTTACTTTACGGGTAACAAAACAATTCATTTATCCATTATCTATTCGGTCCATCCATAACTAAATTCATCAAATTCAATGACTATACAAATATAATAATGATGGATTGAATCTAATCTATCTATTTAATTTTATGGATGAATTGTGATTCATCCACTATTTTTCAAAATTCATTGAATTACAATAAAAAGAATGTATTGAATTGAAATTTTAAAAAATTATTTTGACATAAAAAAAATTTTAAATTTTTTTTAAGATTATATAATAATAAAATCACTTATAACATTTTTTTTTTTAATTTTACAAAAAAAAATTAATTTTTAAAACTTATTTCCTAAATGAATTAAATATCTATCCATTAAAAGTCTGTTAATTGATGGGTTAAAATAGATCAAATAGACTAAATTTTTAAACGAATTTAAATTAATTAATGAATTATTTTCATTCAATCAATTATAATATAACTTAAAAATTATTTGATTCATCTTTGTGTCACCTTAAATCTATTTTAATAGAAGTTGAAGAATGCTTTTGTAATATAATGAGGGGTTTTATACATTTGCCATTAGGTGTAAAATCTGTCTTACGGTATTTAAGCTGTGTTTGGATTAACTGTGGAGATAGAATAAAATATAATCAGTTGAAATTATACAAGATTTCATAATTTTGAACATGTAAAATAGAATGGAATAAAGTGAATTTCATTCAATTTCATCTCATCTATGTCCTTCTTTTTCCCTTCAATTAAAAAGAGAATGAAATGGAAACCATTTTCCCCCATTCTGTTGTAAGAATATTCAAACAGCAGAATACTACCTTTATTCCATATAAATCCATTATAAATCCAAAGTCCAAATATAAGGAAATCTTCCGGTTGTCCATAGAAACTAAGACGATTTTATAGTTGGCCATGTAATTAGACATGTAACAGATGAAAATATATTAATCATTGATCAATGATCAATCCAATAACCATAATGAATCAGAAGATTATTCACTGTAGTATGTATAAAAGAAATAATTATACATTATGATGAAAGTTTAAAAAATCATATATGACAACTTGCAGGATCCTCATAGTGGAGTAAACTACTACAAAAAAAAAGTAATAATTATGAAAAGCTCGGGGTGCAAAAGAAAATACTTAGGACAAAAATGCCTAGAAAATTTCTCTACCAATGACCAAAAAAATTGATCTTCTTACAATTACAGAAGTATATAATCTAAACTTTCATTCATTCAGGGCTAGTTGGTGGTTGGTAAAGAGCAGGAACCAGAGAAATTCAAGGAGAAACTGACACTGTCTGATCCAGAAGAGCTGCATTCAGGTGATTTCTTGCTCATATAAAAGTATGGTGATATGTTCATCATCCTGAGTCAGTACAAAAGCATGCTTCAGACTCATAAGCTCCCATTAATAAGAGAATTGAATAACATAATGCTATTATAGTATTATATGTCACATGGAAACAAGTATTCAATGAAAGAAATATGTTTACAAGTGTTTTAAGAATAAACTCTCCAAAAAAACACTTACTGTGAAGAAAAAATGAAATAAGTTTTTCTATAAAATATAAATTAGTTTATGCATAAACTAATTTGTGGAAACTTTTGTATTATCTCCTCCAAAAAGTTTTTGTAACTTGTGCATTAGGTAAGTATAAGTTAATTTCATTTTTGCTTTCTTATTTTCTTCTCTTATAAGTGCTTCTGATAAGTTTATCCAAACAAATTTATATTTTTTTAATGTAAAATTAGGACTCCCTCTCATCAGGTCTTTCATCAAGTATTTTACCCTTACAGTGCCAATTTAACTCTGTAATCAAAACAAAAAGTGATGCATCAATTACCTTTCTTTTCTCTTCTCCATAAACCGAGCCAAGGATGCTTTACGTGCCTGAGGCAAGCATACTGTAAACACAACAAACTTTTCAGCTCATCACAGTGCCTTACATAAACTAGTGAAAGATACTAGCTACTAAAAGTTGAGGAATGCTAGCAAGTAGGTACACCTTTTTATTAGGTGAAATCCATGCTAGCTTCTCTAAGTATAATGGATCCACTCAATATTAGTGGAGCCAACACGGATTTATCTCAATAATAGAAAAAGTATTAAAATGTAGAAAGAGACTAGGCAAGAATAAACATACCTGGTTGAGCCCTTTCTTTAGCTACAGAACCAACAATAATAGGTGATTCTAAATGGTTAGTAGGGGCAGTTGAAGGTCCTACTGGTCTTAATATGGCAAGTTCATTGTTGCTAGAAGATCCTCCTGGCTGAGAATTAGCTTGAGAGGGAGGATAGGATTGGCTTATAATGAAACCATCATCTTTGGAGGGAATTGAGATTGCTGGATGCAATTTATTTGTGGAAACTGCCATTTTGTGAGTTGGATTAGACCCATTTCCAGCCATTAACATGATAGCCTTGGCCTGATGGTCATGGAAAGTGAAAATCAGAAAACTATAAATATAAATATTGAGCACGGTGGTTAGCAAATTTTGATTGAAAAACACCATTTAATGTACTGATAACATTAAATGTTGCAAACTTCTAATACAACCTTTTCACTTTGGTTCCTTAATAATGGTTAGAAAAAGTGATATACAAAAAGGAGCAATTTGATATTTTAACAGAATTAAGACAACAGCAAAAACGTCTTGGCTGAAGGGACTGATACATGGATCATTCAGCGTCATTCGACTCAATTAAAAGGTTTGTTTGGATGATTTTTTTCAAAAGTAATAATAGGAGAAAAAAGCAGGAAAGAAATTTGAAATAAGCTTCTACATAATCTAAAACTAGCTTTTGAATAAGTTAAACTAGGATTTTGGTTAAGTTAAATAAGAGAGAATTTTTACAAATTTGCTTATGCATTTTAGTTTATGGAGAAACTAATTTCATTTTTCCTTCTTATTTTTTCCTTATAGAAGTGCTTCTACAAAAGTTATCGAAACAGGTCCTGAGAACAAATCATTATAGTTTAATAGAATTAAGACAAAATTAGAACAATATACCTTCTCAGGAGATATGTCATCATAAACACATACAGAACCGCCATAGAAAATGGTCAGCTGAGTAGACATGCCAGAGGATTTGGAACAATTCCTGCAGGAAAAAAAAATATTGTGAGCTCCCTTACATATTGCTCATCTAGATCATAATCACATCACACATCAATATATCTTTAGCAAGTAATTTCAGTGAACTTGAAAAATACAACTTTTTTAGACGTTTAAAGTTATGATACCTTAAGTCAGTAGATCCAACAATGGAACCTATTGATGGAAGAACAGATAGAGGTGTGCCAGAGGATTTGGAACCAAGAGGTTGTGGTTTTATGACTGAATTGGTCATGTTCAGTCCGCTAGTAGCAAGATTAGATTGAAGAACAGGACTAACTTGATTTGATTGGTTGGAAACTGAAAATATTCTTGCTTCCTGAAGGCACGCTGATTGTGCATCACTACATTGCATAGGATAAACTGCCATTCCATGTTTGGTTCCTGCAGCATGCTTGCTTATGGACAAATTTTTCTACAAAATGATAAGGAAAAATTAGTTTCAGAAATTTTTTTCAAAAACCACTAGGAATTCATACAAGTGAAAAATACCTTTCACAACAATAAGATAAAGGATACAGCATTCAAATGTTTATACTTCAAGGTGAAATTTCTTTAGCTACATGGACTAGCCTTGTTTGAATAAACTTCTCCGTAAGCAGTTAAGGCAAAATGATTGAACTTCTCTTATATGTAAGATAAAAATCAACTTACACGCTTCATCTTTTGGAGAAGTTAGATAAGAAAGTTTTAAAAAATGTTAAACCTGCAAGCTGATTTTAACTTATGGGAGAAGCTCAATTCATTTTACCTTCCTATTTTCTTCTCTTGTAATTGCTTATAGAAAACTTTATCCAAATAGGGTTTAGGCCTTTTGTAGAAGTTTAAAGCATTTCTTGATTAGAAGAAAAAGCAAACCTGGGTGGCACCAAAGAATGGTTTCTGGTTAGAGTCAAAAGCATCTTTAGTTGCCATGGTCATATATCCAGATGAAGCTAGTGGATCAAGAATATTCATCCTAGGCCTGTCTTCCTGATTGGTCTTGAAGGACAGGAACTGAGGAAGGACTGAGACCTTGTGTGGGAATGACCACTGCATTCCTGAACTCGTCACTGCAACAAATTAAGAACAGAAGGGTGACGAACATCAGATCAAGCTCATGAGTTATGAAAACATGTAAAAGAAAATTCACATGCGAATAAAGATGATAACACATTCATAGATACCTCAAAATTAAACAAGTTTAGCCCTTTGATTGATATATACAATACAAGCAACTGATAAAAATAAAAATAAAAAAACATAAAAACAGGTTAATTGGTTTCCAAATCCAAACTATGGAACAGAAGAATGACGATGATGGTCTTGAGGGTGATTTAAACTATTGAGAAAGGTATTCTTATCATGCTCACTAGAACCTCAAAGTTAACTAAGCAAAGACAGATCATATCTACAAGAAAAACTCTCAGCCTATTGCAAAGTGAGAAAATGTCCCACAAACTGTATTATAAGTCTGTTAATCCCACGGATTGGTATAGTGATTAACACTATGCTTTCATACGTTGTGAAAATTATCTATTTAACTCTGGAAACTGAATTCAATCTGTTGTGTGCGAAAATTCGTCAGGTCACTGGTGGTGGCGATACTACAATCGGGATTAGGATACACATGGCGGGACAAACAAAAATATATTATAACTTGTTACCCCCATCAAAAAAAATAAGCTAGGAAATAAAGAAGGTGCAACTAAGAACCTGAATGGCTCAGAACAGCTTCAGCAACAGCAAAGAAATACTTGAAAGTTGAAACAATTAGTCAATTGCTCTGCAACAAACCTATTTCATAGAAGCTATGGCAGCACTTTCATCATAAAAAGCCAGAGTCCTTCAATTATTATCACATAGTTTAATTACATCACATGTGAGGATGTGACCATCTTATTTTATCATAAATGTCGGCAGCATCAGGAGTAACATCTTATGAAGTATAGCATTACTTAATCATAGACCATCGTTTAATAAAAAGATTATTGTATTTTTAAAATAATGAATTTGAATCTAACTCAATTTTATAAAATCGACTTAAAAAATAAAAATTATTTTCTACTTATATATTATTTAATTATCTAATCTCTAATCGATTTAGAATTTGAATTTTTTCTAATATATATTAAATGCTTCTATTATATTATGTTACAATATTTTATGCTGTGGCTCTGTTTATTTTATTAAAATGTTTCCTTCCGTGAGTATATTTTATGCAAACCTCGTTGCTCACAGCTAGTCACTACCATCGAAGATAGTTGTTTATTTCTCAAGGCTATTCAATATTGTAGCATCACGCATGCCCATGTTAACTTAGGATATATAATATTAAAAGATGATTAATATATAAAAAAAGTTATACACATGTTTATCCTTTTTAAATGTTTTTCATACATCAGAATCCATGATATTAATATTAAAGTACATCTGATTTGTCTTGACTATTTAAATAACGCACATCGTTACATCCATATGAAAGCGAGAAAAAGAAGTAGCACATTGTAGAATAAAATATAGAAGAAAATAGCAACAGAGACAACCAAAGCCACGTCTAATAAATGAATAATGTTTGTTTGATGATGTCCCTTTTACTTTACATTACTTCGCATTCTTTGTAAAATGTGAAATAAGAGAAGCTTGCTTCTAGTGAATATAAAAGTAAGTATTAAAATAAGGGAAAATTTTAAATTTTTTTGTGTATAATTATGGCATTGATGTTCGAACTTAGGACCTCATCCAACGTAATATATGTGTTTTTTTAAAAAACATAAAAGACAACATTATATCATAGACAATTTGTTATTAGATTGAGTTACAAAACTTTTACACTTATAATTAAATTCAATTTATTATACTTTTGTATTTATAATATTATAAAAAAAATCAATTTTGTTGTTCATTTATATTTATAATATTATAAAGGGACCTACTTTTGACCATCTCACAAGGGAAACAGTGCACCAATACACAAGTTGCCATTCTCCCATTCCCCCCATTACCATTCATCAATATCAACTTTGAAAAATAAATGCCAAATGGGCCCAGGGACCGGGCCCATGTCCAGTTCTTGGCCCACTTATGAGGATTTATCTTGCATAGTAGCCGCATATATAATGAATAATTCACCTACTTCATGCCTTATACTAGTTAGGTTGCAACTTGCAGGTAAAATGCCCCCACTTTATATCCTCATGTTTCAATGGGTTATCTTCACCCTTAGAAACCTTAGAATTGAAATTTTAGTTCTTATCCATTTAAAGCTTAAAGGCTAAAAACAAAACCCAAAAGCAAACCAGCACAGTCCCCAACAATATTTTCTGTGGCATATGGCTGCTAAAGCATTCTTCTTTTATTTTTTCATCCATATCTTGTCCTTTTTCTTAGAAGGAATTCAATTTCTTTTTATTATTATTCTAAGAAGAAGAAAAAAAACAATTCATTTATAGCATATCTAATTAAAAGGGGTGCCAAAATATCCAAAACTGAAACTGAAAAATATTGCCATCATAGAATCACAATTCACACCACTCAAAAGCTCTCAGTTTTGTTTTTTTTTTTTGGTTTATCTCATCTTGTATATCATAACAATCCAAAAATTAATAATGATAATAATTAAATTACTTTTAAGCTAATGCAAAAGTTTCAAGTTCATATGAACGTGAGAAGTGCAAAGCTTTTTTATGTATAAATATAAACAAAATAATAATAATAATTAAAAAAAATGGTGGAAAGTGCTACCTGGGTCTTTTGGTTTGATAGCAGCATCACCTTTCATAGTAGTCCATGCACCATTTTTGGAACTCAAGCTAAAAAATTCCCTCTCCATGTGGTGAAAAAATCAGAGACCCTCAAGAGTTTTTCTGTTCCTAGTTACGCAAAGAATAAGACTTTGAGAAAATAAGAATAATAATAATAATAAAATCTGAAGTGCGTGCAGTGAATGGAGAGAAGAGAGTAAAAGAAGAAGCAACAGAGAGAGAGAGAAAGAAGAAATGAGAGATATAAAGAAGAAGAAAAAATGAATGCAAGGAAAAAATAAAAGCCTCGTGTACTCAGTTCGAATCATTAAATCTGGACCGTTGGATTTATGAGATTCGGTTTAACTTTAAGCTTGACCGGTCGGACCGGTATGAAAACCGGTCTTGGTATTCGGTGAGACACTGACCACGTGGGCAACTACGGGTGCCAATTAAAGTCAAACCTAACAAGTTCAAATAAAAATTATTTATAACCATTACAATACAGCATTTATTCATTAAATGAGTTTAGATTATAGTGCGAGCTAATAAATTGTATAATTACGTGGATTTCAAACAACATATTTTTAATATATAATATTTAGTAACTTTTATTAAAACATTATACAACTAAGCATAGAATTTATTAAATGATAAGTAAACCAACAAAGTGTAGCATGTCATTAAGAGTTTAATAACAATCATTTTGTATAAATATATATATATATATATTTATCAAAAAAGAATAACTTCTCAAATAAATTTGTCTACCTCAACGTATTAATTCTTAATTTTTGACTAAAAGATATCTTGGTTTACAAAAAAGATATGATAAATAAATAAAATTTATAATTTTAATAAATTTTGACCTACAATACAAAAAGAAATACAGGAAAATATATTCCTACCAAGGAAGATGGAAAAAGTATCGGTAGCATATTAGGAATATTAAATAAAAAATTATAAGCAAAAATTTCATGTTTAATATATATATATATATATTCAACTCTAAAATGTGAATATATTAATTTCTTATATAAAGGTAAACGTAAAAACTAATTTTAATAATAAATTTGAGGTACTAAGTTAAGGTTAAATAATTCATTTACTTCTTTCTCTTCTTTTTTTTAAGTTGTAATTCATATACGAAGAAACTGCAAATTTTAATTTCATGGATAAAAATTAAGTTTTTCTCTCATTTTGTTTTTAATATTAGTTTGGGTCTCTTATTGCTAACATCATTAAAAAATTTGTAAATGTAAAACTGCTATAAAAAAAAACTTCTAAACAAATCGAACCATTCTATAAAAAACAGTAAGGAGTCGCGTGATAGTATAAAAATTAAATGATCAATTTTAATTTTTTAGTCAATTCAAATTTTTATAAAATTTATAATTTTGGGGAATAAAAAAAAGTCATTTTCATTTTTTGCAATAAATATAGGATATTAAAGATAAACAAAAATATATTATTGTTTATTTAATGATAAACAGCCGCAATTTTTTTTATAAGAACTAAAAATTATAATTTTCTTATATGTTGAGGCTAAAACTTAAAATGACGATAAATAATGGAATCACTTGGATAATTTAACCATAAATTAAAGACATGATTATTGATTATAGTTTAATTTCGTACTTGAGTTTGTGATCGAATCTAGTTTTTAGATTTAGAACTTGCTTGAAAAATATATCTATTTTTTTTCTTATGAAACTCTCGAAAAATGCACACAACACCGAGTTATTGTTTCAAAGCTTTTATCAATTTAGGACATTATAATATAAAATCATTAAACTAAAAGGAATCTGGTAGATGTCATAGAAGATTTAATTGATTAATTTTATATTCAATAAAAATAATTTTAAGCAAGGTCCATTCGACACGTGGTGCCTCTGCTCCCCATCTTTTGCAAAAATCTATTCATAGGAAAGATTAATTAAGTATTGTACTTTATTTTCTGACTTTGGACTCACATGTTTGGATATTTATTAATGTTTTATTCTATAGAACTTTTTGTTTTAATTTAACGGGTAAACGTTTCACGAGAAAAAAGTTCATGGATTCGATTTGTCTGTGGGCTGGGTGATCATATAATAACATTTTATTTGGTTGGTCGAGGTTGTTTTTTTTATCATCAAATCATGCAAACATTTACGTTGGTTTAATGTAATTTTGTGTGTGTGTTTTTTTCTTGGCTAATATATATATATAGCTTCCTACTTTAATCACGAGTCATGACAATCATTTTAAGTCATTATCTGTTTTTGTTGTCAACAAAGAAAAAGACAAAATCAGCTTTTAATGGTAGGTTTTAAAATTAAATTAAAAAAGTCAATAATGCGTATTTAAATTTCAAACCATTTATGGTTGAATAAAAAAAAACGGTTAAATTTTTATACTCTTAAAAGTTTATACTATATACATGATAATTATGTATTTGATATAAGTAAAATTATAACCTATAAATAATTTTTATTTTATATATTGTATTATAATTAAATTTTGTAATGAATAATTAATTTTAAATTAAATATGTGAATTATTTAAAATCTATGATAAATAACATATTTTTTATGTAAATTATTTTAATTATTGATAATCTTTTAAAAATATTGAAATAAATATAATAATGATATATTTAAAGAGATAAGTTAAAAAAGATGTTGAAATAAGTATGAAAATCATATATTCAAAGAGATGAGAAGTTAAAACTAATCCTTCATCCGTGCATATACACGAATTTGCTCTCACTTCCATCGAAATGTATGTGTTTTTTAGTATTGATTTAATATATAAGGTAAAGGATTTAATTAATATGATTATTAATATAAAATAAATAGGAAAAATCATTAATAATTTTAAACTTACAACATGAAATCTAAACTGAGTAAAAAAGATTGAAGTTTTCTCTATGATTGCATAATATGTTGCATGGGCACAGTATGGGACGGACATGTTCCTAAGTCCGACACTCTTATGGAGCAAACACATCACAGCTACGTCTTAGACATTTTGATGAGTCGTGTCCATACAAATCGGATATGTCTTTATCACGGAGAGCTACAAAGCTGATATGTCTTCATTGTGGACACTTGCAAATTAACACATCTTTATCTCGATGCACTATCCGATATACAGATTCAAGATTTTAAAAAAATAAATAAATAAATATCAATAAAAAATTAAAAAATTAAAAAATTAAAAAAAATAAAAAGGGAGAATTTGATAAACTTTTTTTTTAAAAGAAGAAGAATAAACATCAATAAAAAAAACATAAACAGAAAAAGGAGAATTTGAGGATTTTTAAATAAATAAAAATAATTAATTAATTAAAAAAAAAACAGATGCATGTACCAAAGATTTTAAAATAGGTCTTACTAGAAAATAGATAAGACTAAACAACAATCATATATATGTTAGAACAATGTTAAGCAGTACTCTACTATATTATGTTGATGTTCTCTACCTTTAAGTTCTTTTTTTTCAAAAAAGAAAATATTTAACGGACTAAGTAAATTAAACTTTGTACAATGTAACATTTGCTTTTGAGGTTATGTGAGTGTTAAGTTTATTAGTCTAGTTCTAATAAATGAAGAAAGTTCACGAGTGCAAAGGTTAGCTTGTTCTTTGTCCTTATTTTGTCTATCTTTGAGAGTGCAAATATTATCTTATTATATGTAAATTTACATTATGAGATGTGAACTTCTGCCTAAAATATTAGAACTTATTGATAAAACTTTGGCTTGCATGATGCATTTTATGTTAATCCTGATAGTAGGTAGACTTTCTAAATATGTGTTCCAAAAAATACTGTAATCAAAAACAAAAGTTATAGTCTCTTTGCAAGAAAATATAATAAACAGTATAATGATAATAAGATAATTGATATTATACCCAAAATTCTGGATTGGCCTCCAAAATGAACAAAAAATCTTGTATATTGATACAAATTCTATAAAAATAGAACATTATAGAGTAAATGATAGTAATATTGTCATAACTTTTTATAAAGGACAGTAATAGAAGTGTATGGTAAAGTGTAGTAAATTACCATATATTTTGGAAAATTTCTTTGAATATAATCACAAATACATTTTTCGTCTTTGTCATGAATTAAAATCTTGACTCTTTTTTTAGTGTGAACTCAAGAAAAAACTACATACAGTTAGTCATGATAAAACACAAGTTTAAACAAGTATAAAGCAATTTTATTTAAACATTGTTCCTGATTGTTAGTAGTCATAGCATAGAAAACAATTATAAGAAAATGCCCTCTGATTAATTTGAAAGGTTGTGAAGATTGAGAAGGTGCGAAGCATGCGAGGAATATAAACTAATTTTTCAATGTTCTTTCCATATATGATTTTAGTTTCAATGACATGATTAGCCAACCTTGTTACGATTAATCAATCTTGTACCATTATACAAACCTTCAAATTGGTTTAGACTCCTTATTAACATGATTGAAATTCCAAATTCAAGTTTAATTCTATGATTTGGAAGACCAGATGTTTTCAATGTGCTTAGAAATTTTGGTGTAATGGACTGAAATATAATTCTGTCTACTACATCTAGCATCAAGAGAATCATAACTTAAATATTCCTTTTCTTCATCAGGAATTAAGGATACAATATATTTATTGATTTGGTCAATTAGAGTCAATATTTGATGCTAGAATTTCTCTAACCTATGAGAAATCTTCATTATTGAACAAATTGGGCAGAACTAGGTAAGTACTTTCCACTGTAGTAGCAATTGGATTATCAAACTAGGTGATAAGAAATTCTTGAGGAATTTCTATTTTTGCATAGCAATCATTTGGTTTAACAACTTTTCCATCACCTACCTGTAGTAGCCACTCAATTTTCTATGTTGCTCCAAATTGACTGTATCACTTTGAAGACACATGTTCTTAGTCAACCTTAGGACCTTACAATATTCCCATAGATAAGAGAAATTGATTGAAGCATTTACAATATCAAATATACTTCCTTGTGGGATAACTAGTAGGCATTGTCTAAACTCACCACCAAATACAACTACTTTGCCACCAATCGGACTATTTCTACGGATTGAATAGTTCATTATGTCTTTCAAGCTTTTGTCTAAAGCCTCAGCAGAACTTATGAGCCATTGGTGCTTCATCTCAAATAATAAGTCTTGTCATCTTTAAAGATTTGCTAGCTCACTATCTTGAACAATATTGCAAGTTGAATTTCGCAATGTAGGAATCGGGATTGCAAACTTGGAATGAGCAGTTCTACCACTTGGTAATA